AAGAAGAGAAGGCGACGCGGTAAATGAAAGAAAAAGAGAAAAACACAGCAAGCCTCGGTCCCGCGGAGGAAGGAAGATCCGTACTCCGACAGGTGATAAGCCACGCAAGGACTGAGGGGAGAAGCCCCTCAAGGGCAGGGAAGGGGGGATTGAGAGGAAAAGATTATTGTAAGGGGACAGGCACACACCCCAGCGGCCCTGAAGCGTAACAGGCATCCTCCGCCTTTTCAGGAGAGAGGTCGTTATCCGCAAAACTATTTCCATCAACGTACTACAGTGTTTTTGTTGTAAGTGGCTTCGGAGGTGAAGGGAAGGACCACCTTGTGATTGTTGAGGTAGATTCCGATTCAACTCCGTTTGCCCCTGCGGCGTCGTTTCCACATCCATTGCACGATCCGAAAGCGAATATTGCTCATCGTTGTGCGAGTGGTGGGATGGAGTGACCTGGAGTGACGGTGATGCTAATAATTGCAGCATTGGGACTAGAGGATGGCATGCCGGTGCGAAGGTGCTTGTCACTCAAGTCGGCTCCTGTCACCGTAGGGCTGGGCAGGGCTGGGCGTAGTGTTACTGCTGATATGAGAAATCGAGGCCGTCAACTGTTGCTCGTCGTCGCTGTCGCTGTCGTTGTCATCGTCATCTCCGCTGTAGCCGAAACAAACGGTGCAGGATTCCCGAAGCTGCACTGTCGGAATGCGATTGGTGGGCGAGAGGAGGCAATGGGAAATGTGTCAAAGGAGCTGCAAGAGAACTAGTACTGGCAGTGCGGGAGGAGGGATTGCGGTGGTAGAAAACGAGCCAGAAGGCAATGGGGCATCGGTATATTCCTCCTCCCATGGAGCAGCATGATTGCCTTGTGTCAAGCCCAAGACTTCTGGCACATTCGTCCTCCTGGATGACGGTGCTGCAGAGTGCATAAACCCTGTCGACAATACTGCATCTTGCACATAACGCCGTCCGGCCACCTTCAAAAGATCACCATAGGGGGTGTTGGTCACAATCAGCGCACAGTTATCATGAGAGGCACGACCGCCTGCGCGCACAGTTTCCCTCGACAATATCGCACGTATCTTGTTTTTATCGCCATCTGAAGGCCGTCGAAATTCGAAGGCGGTTGCAACCAACACAGATATCACGGAGGCACTATCGCAAATGCGCAGAATTCTTCACGATGATATTGCATTTAACCACTGTCTGGCAGGCGTTGGAGGGTTGAGTCGCAGCGACGTCAGTTGGTATTGGCAAAGGGCATATTTAGACCCACAGGGTCCTATATGAAAGAAAAGAAAGGGTATTAGCACAAGAATACTGCGGTTTTAACACGTAATACACGACTCATACCTGTGCTTGATAGCGACATCTCCTTTTGCGTTGACGCATCGAAGAAATCCTTGGACGAAGTATTCACGCATGGTGGACTGGTCGAATGAGAGCCTTAGCGCTGATTGGTAGGTTGCAAGCAGTTTGTTTGCTCTATCCTTGGCGCCCAAGGTCTATTATGGCGATAGCCGATATTGACGTATCCTCCGGCACAAGCACAATACCAACTTTCTTGGCAAAGCGATCTACATCCCTATCGGATATGTAGTCACTATTGAGCCGACGTAAATGCGGACTTGGCAAATATGCTCCGCTTTTGAGGGTTATTTCCATCAATGATAACCATATGCTCATATTGAAGGTTTGGTTCGTCATCCAACTGTAAATTATCAGCACAATTTAGGGCAAAAGGAAGCATACATACCCTGTTGTTGCACGGTGGACAGCTCTGGAGGATTCTCCAATCGCGGGCATCTTGGTCAAGCGCTTGAGAAATGGATGTCTCCACAGCGTGGATGAGGTCAAGTTAAATAAAAGTCATAAGCTACCGACAAACAACGCCAAAGATACCGTTTGTAGGGACGCTATTAATAGGAATTAGCCAATGTGTCGAATCAGAAATGACTCAGACCTGATGAAGAAAACAAAATGTTTTGGTGAAGCGCCCAGCACTCGTTGAGGGGCAGTTGAATGCAGATGCATGGTAAACTGCAAAAAGATCGAGAGCAACTGCGACTATCGGCTTATCGTTCTACGATAGCCTTGTGCAATGAATGACTGGGTCCGATTGGAGGCATCTTCAATATAGAACTCACAATAATCTTCATAATCTAAGGGAAAGTGTTAGATATTGAGAGTCATGGCTACAAGAGACAAACCAAAAAGCGATATAGGGATCATCTTGATGGTCTTCCGACTTCAACATTATTTAGAATTTAATCTTGATCCAAGCTTCCGCTACCTGTTGCAAACCCTTGATCTCGCCGAGTGAGAAATGGAATGAAACGTGTGCGCTTGAGTTGACTGCCTCCTGGGAAATGCGCTGCCAAGCCTCTCTAATGCGTATACTATACAAATAAGCTTTCTTGGTATCCAAAGAAGAAGAAAAACATACACGGTTGGCTGTGAGAGAAAATGTAAAGGTTCTTCGCTATATGGTTCATCACCTTCATCATCCGCCCTGCCTTCAAATATCCGTGTTGTGCATGAGGGTAGTCAGAGTTGAGATAAATCCTTTCCCTGATGACTTGTAGAGCAGCCCGATCAGATTCACTTAATGCTGCGAGGGTTTATCAACAACTGTTAGCAATAGGAGGCAATCTCGCACCATTTTGACATTTCCAACATTCTCAACAGGCTCCCTTCCTTCA